GTGATCAGTGACGTAGATAATCTAGGATTGTGGACTAACGAACCAGAACTTTGATCTGACATGAAAATGTGTCATGGACATAATCTTTTCTCATTTCCACCCTAGCAGAAAGAGAACTTCAGATCTGAGCAATAGAAGCCAGCCGGTTAATATTTAAAGTTTGTATTTTAAATAAGATCTAACAAACACCTCCTGTGATATAATGAATTCAATACTTTGTATTATACTTCTTTGAATCACTTTTATTGGTACCCAAATTGATTATAATTTTCTGTGAGCAACTACTTTCGAACCTTTCATTTTCAATACTTAATACGTATCCAATGGTTACAGTTTTTTGTTTTTTTTTGTGAATATCACATTAAACTGTCATTTAGGCTTTATGGTCGTTAAAACATTTAGGAGTTGAGCAGATACTGTATTACTGTTTCAACGTAGATGTGTCTTTAACTAAGATCTAGATAGTTGATGGATGTTAAAACAATATTATGTGTCGAACAAATGTTGTAAAGACAATAATAAGCCGTTAAAGAACACCAAATTTTATTTCAAAACAACATTGCTACTTATTGAAACTGTTAACTGATTTTAAAGCCCTATGCTTCAGACAGATATGATTGATTTTGATTTTTTTAAACTTACATATAATAGCTTATCGCTTAACAATGTGGTCAAGTAGAATTTTTTTTTCTATTTAAGGCATAAGTTTGAACAACCTATACATTAAAAACATACCATGTTTGTACAATTTTTACTTACAAGTTTGAACAACTTATACATTAAAAACATACCATGTTTGTACAATTTTTACTTACAGACCCACCTCACTTCTTTCATACTCAAGGTTTGGATGTTGAATACAAAACCATAAAGTAAACAAAACACGAGTTGGAACTACGTCTGTAAACCTAAACAGCTACAGTCACACTACAAAATATTTACTACAGACAAAGATATAAACCTTCATGATATAAACCTAAATGATTAGCGTGTACAGGCTATGAATATGAGGATCCACTGTCTGCGACCCGTTGCCACAAAATCGCGCTTCGCACTTTCAACTGGAGATTTTTTGTGCTTTTGTTTTTTTAATTTCGTGCAAAGCTACACAAAGGTTATATGCGCTAGCTCTCCCTAATTTAGCAGTAATAGACTAGAGGGAAAGAGCTAGTCGACATCACCAACCGCTAACTTTTGGGCTACTCTTTTACCAACGAATAGTGAGATTGACCACCACATTATAACGCCCCTACAGCTGAAACGGCGAGCATTTTCGGTGTGGCATGGGATTCGAACCCTGGACCCTCAGGTGGCGAATCGAGCGCCCTCACTACCAGGCCATGCCAGGCCACAATAGAGTTGTTACAAGAGAGACGATCTAACCATATTATTCGATCAAAACAGAACAGCTCGAACGTTGGTGGTGGGTGTTGGTGAGTAGCTGTCTTTCCTCTAGTGATTCTATTGTATCAGTTCAAATATAGTCAGATATGTGCAAATATAGTCTTTGTGTAGCTTGCAAAATAAGCAAGTCTGTGTTACAATTTATATTTTAAAAGTAGCATCATTAGCACTAAAATATCAGGTGATTCATTCTTTTATTTCCTTTTTTTGCATTTAACTATAATATATATATTTACTGTACTCATTTTCTGCAACTTGGCACTTTTCAGTCACACAAATACAAATTTCCAAAGTCCTCCGACTCAAAATGAAGTAATATAGGAAAAGCAGAAACTGTAACTAAAGCTGAAGTGATTTTTGCTGCAGCTGCCACTGTGAAAAAGCCTGTTTCACTTCTTTTTCTCTATCTCTCTCTCTCAAAATGAGGTTTATTGAAGTATCAGTCTCACTGGTGTCATGTTATACCATTTACGCTTATAGTTTTTGTGGATGGATATAAAATCAGATGAAACGAAGCATTGGTAAATATATACGGAGAGGTAAAGAAACGGTTTCGTCAAAACATTCCATAATAAATCACATATCAGATTTTAAGAATGATGAAACAGTACAAAAAGCGGGTTATTTGTTTACGTTCCAAGGGTTTCCAGGATTCCGGAGAATCTGATTTAAGTGTTAGTTGTCCAAGAAAAAAATAACATTACAGAAGGTTGAGCACGTTTTATTAAAACGATTTGAAACATGCACATCAGCAAGTCATGTGATAACCACAGCCTTTACAAGGTCGCAGTGGCACGATATGTATCAGAATTTTGATATTGGTTGGCGAGTCCAAGTGCGTGTGATACCACAGACAATTTATTAGTTTTTGGAAGTGTATGTAACAGCTCTTTTTGACGCAAAATAATCATACACTCAAATCATAATGACGTGTTCAAATCGGGAATTTGTAATCTCCAATTTATATAGCAGTGAAAGGCTTGGTTTGGTCTGAAGTTTCATTGGTGGTAGTGTCCAGAGTCACTGATGCTTTTAATTGTTGCTAAGCAAATGTTTAAACAACTCTATTCAATTATGTACCAGCTGCTTAGTGTCAGCTAACAATACGAAGAATTAAATTGTGGCGGAATGCTACAAGTTCTTCAAATACCTATAAAATGGTTGGTTTCTTATTTGTGAGTGTAAAACACTTAAATACACACATATATATATTGTTTTGTACGTACGTTTCTCGTTGCTTTCAATACTCATGTAGATTTTAAGATAAAATGATGTTTTTATTGAATCATTTCAAGTTGAGAATCAAATTCACCAGTTTCATTCTGTCTAGCAACAATTTTCTGTAGATAAGTACGAGTTCTCATAGATATTTTATTATTAATATTTCTTGTTTCCAACCAGGGCGCCAGCTTATGTGCCACATGGGCTAAACGGCCAGATGAGCGATTCCTTAGGTTCAGATATAGTCACTCCTAAAAAGGAAGGTAACTAGTCAACAGGTACCGCCGCCTGTGCAACTACTCTTAACCGAATACTAGAATTGACTGTCACAGTTATAACACTCTCCCCCCCCCCCTCAGCTGAAAGTTTGTTTGTTTTGAATTTCGCACAAAGCTACACGAGAGCTATCTGCGCTAGCCGTCCCTAATTTAGTAGTTTAAGACTAGAGGGAAGGCAGCTAGTCATCACCACCCACCGCCAACTCTTGGGCTACTCTTTTTACCAACGAATAGTGGGATTGTCTGCAACATTAGAACGCCCCACAGCTGAAAGGGCGACCATGTTTGGTGGGACGGGGATTCGAACCCATGACCCTCAGATTGCGAGTCGAGTGCCCTAACTACCTGGCCATGCCGGGCCATCAGCTGACAGTGCGGAATGTGTTCATCAGCATATTACGGCTCGAACCTTGAACTTTCTATTCCGTATCACGTACGGTAACCACGAGGCCGCGCTAGGGCCACATTAGTTGAGTGACTCGAACTCTGTACAGAATCTTGCTTGAGATATCGCTTTTGTTAATGAGTATAAAAAAAGAGCGATATTTGTAGCTATAAATATGTCAAAATTATAACCATAACAATTTCCAGTTCAATAAGATTAAATGATTTTAGTCGAAGATAGAGCGAAACCTTACATGATGAGTGACATGAAATTTTTTAATTCAACAACATAAAAACGTAATGGTGTATTTAATCTCCTGAGACTGGAAAAAAAAAAGCTTTCCTGCGGCGTAACTAGAGAAATGAGAAAAATAAAGTGTGACTCAGGGTGAAGTAGTTTTTTTAAAGTTAGTTTTTAGGAAATTAATATAAGTTGCCTTCGTGTCAAAAATTCTAAAGTGGACGAAAGGTCCACAGAGATTACCACGTGGTTCCTTTCTTAACACAGGGATCATATCTCTTTCCTGCTGCGCTGTAGCCTCGTTTTTTCTTGACATTTTTTTGGTAGCGAGATACCAAACAGACGTTATTTATGTATGTTTTCGTTGTTTTAAGTAATACGTATATCTGATGAGTGAAAAAAAAAAAGAGATCAACTTTTGATTAGCTTTTAAAAAGCGCTGGACCAAAACATACCCATGTTTGTTTTGAATTTCACGCAAAGCTACACGAGGGCTATCTGCGCTAGCCGTCCCTTATTTAGCTGTGAAAAAATAGAGGGAAGGCAGCTAGTTATCACCACCTACCGCCAACTCTTGGGCTACTCTTTTCCCAACGAATAGTTGGATTGACCGTCACATTATAACGCCCCCACGGCTGAAAGGGCGAGCATGTTTGGTGGGACGGGGATTCGAACACGCAGACCTCAGATTGTGAGTCGAGCGCCCTAACCACCTGGCATATATCCATGTTAGTAAAGAAACTGTGAAGCAATGTAAAACCCGTAGGAATATAATACATCCGTATTGGTAAACAAAGGGTTAATTAATTTGAGTGTTATCGCATGGATATTCTTTATAGCTATAATCATGTTTAATTTAAAATTCAGGCACAGAAAGAAACTACAAATATGTAGGTGAATGAATGTGAATAAACAAAAATTCATATAAACATAATAAATACTTACGTTAGCAAATAAATTATTTTTGTTTATATTTTTTCATTACATGACATGCGTACACATATACATACACGTATACATGTATTTGCGTATCTGAAAACATAGCCTAAATGACATGCAACATGATACTGCACTCTGTGACTTATAACTTCTTCCTTCTGAAATCAGATTCATAGTAGCAAATCATGAACATAACACTCCACATTAATAATAATAGATAGACAAACAACGATTTATAAGCATAAAGAAGAGTTTTGTTGATGGTGGAACATATTGCATGTTTTGACAGAGTATTGGTAAATCGTTGTTTGCCTACTTGTTATTATATTATCATATGTTCTTCCTTACTCAAAGCATTGTCATCTCTCTGGTATACAGGTGTTATTCGTGCCTTTTTTCAATTAACACACGAATCGTATTCACGACAATTATACGAGAGAATGAACTAGAGGAAGAAGCAGCTGAAATTTTTGTATGCCTGAGTTTCTCTCTCATCTTAATTTTCATACTGTATTTAATTACTTTATTCTTACCTTTAATTGAAGGTGGTATGTACATAGGTTGAGTGCGTTAATACGTTAGATTAAAACGATTCTAGACTCTCATCATGTCGTTGCAGTCCGTATCGCCAGATCTGTGTTGCTCTATCTGATGGCCGTGCATCTTGACAACAGTTCTGCAGTGTAGATTCCATTGTAAAAGGCCTCGTCGTAAGTTTGTCATGTCCAAAGCACACCACTGTTCACTGCTTGCTTTCCACAATCTATCAAGTTTACGAGGACAACATTCCGATCGCACAGAAATCTAAAAGTGCTGCGTCAGACAATTTAACCGGTATGTCTTTGCATGAAATTGCTGTCGCACACCTTAGCTATCAAGAAACTGAAACCAAAATTAAATAGTAATTCATCAGCAATTGAAATATTTCAACTATAATCACAAGCAAAAAAAAATTATAATCTGCTGCATATGAATTTTTTGTTCGACGTTTAAAATTAAAAAAATAGAGTGTATTGCATAAGATGTGCTTTAAAATATACATCAAATGTTGCTGAAAAATGTCAGTATTATCCGTAGCATCAATTAAATATAAATATCCAGATACTTTTTTTATCTGTATTTTTGTAGTCTTGAACAAACCCATAGTCTTTCACACAGCCCTATTACCTACGGTACCTATGTTTAGGAAAATTAAATAAAAAGTTAATTTGTTATTTTTATTTTCACACTAGTCCGAGTTGGATTAGCTGTGTATTATAAATAACTGAATAGGGCTTAAAATTTAATCCCTCATAGCTTCGTGTGTAATGTTCCTCTGCAGGAGACTTATTTGATCTTCGTTCCACAACCTTTGACATCTTTGATATAAAAAAATGTTATTCTTCTATCAAAAGTTAGTCGTGTGTATTTCGCCGATGGTATGAGCAATATCAGAAAGAGTGTGAAAGTCAGAGATTAAAGAGCAAGTAGGCACTTAACCAGCACTAAATCATTTCCACGTGAAGAACCCTTGTCTGCACTCGGAAATATAACTCCTGACTTGACTGCGTTTTTATTTTTATATACAGAACATATGCTAGACGCCAGAATGTTGGAAGTGTTAAAAATCCATAGGTTGTATGAGCTCAGATATGCGCTGGACATGAAACCATATTGATATCTTCTAAGTACCTTTATAATAAACAAATGAGTGTTATTAATATATGTGAAACAAATATTCATAAGCGTGTTACGATTTTGATATTTTTCTTTCAGTCTGAGGTTTGCTTCTTAACCCAAGAATATATAGTTGCATGATCCAAGTAATGACATACTCTATTGAAATATTTGAAATATATCGATGAATTGAAAGGAATCATTTATGTTCGTTTGTTTTAGCGTAAAACCACGCAATAGGCTAGATGTGCTCTTCTCACCGTGAGTAATCGAGCCCCCGGATTTAAGCGTTGTAAGTCCGTAAACGATAAGCTTACCGCTGATCCACCAAGAGACTGAATTGAAAGGGGGGGGGGGGAAGGAAATTCTTAAGAACAAAAAAAAATCCTAAGACATTACGGGTCAAGCATGTTCTTATTTTTTTTCTCTTCAGTAATTTCCGAGCATCAGGATGAACACCAATTCAAACACCTTATAGAACCTTTAACTTCTACGTTGGTTTGATTTTATATTACCTTTCTTTCTTAAAATGTAATGCTTTATTTTCTATGACCTTGACCTCAATCTACCTACCAAATTTAGTTAAGTTTCATAGTATATAATCGACTTTGTTTCGCACAGAAGAATAATACACCCGTTTGTGAGTAATGTTGTGTTTTGTTTTGAATTCAACCGACTGGAAATACAAAAAATAAGCACTACAGTATTGTATTCGATAACATCAACATGTCAATCTGCTTCACAAACAAAAATATATTTTTACCTATACAGAATAAATCCTATTGTTTCAATGTCAACGGTATTAAGAATGACTTTGTTGCTGCTGTTTAAGCTATTTTGTTTTACGTGATATATATATTTTTTATTCTTTGTTTTGTCTTCTTAGGTGTCAACTTAAATACAATAAACATCCGAGAAGAAGATAAACTATATTCTATGATTAGGCTGTCAAAGAAAGTATTTCTAGCCGTCAGATCAATCACTGTTCGGCGTGTTGCTAAAGATGTTTGATAACAACCATCTCGTCTTCTCATCTATAACAATTCCAGCAGCTCGAACCCTTTAACATCAATACTACCTTGTGATCTAACAAATAGACACGGTGTTGCTAATGTAACATTTTTTTTATTATTATTATTTTACAATCTGAAGGTCGCGGGTTCGAATCCCCGTCCCACCAAACATGCACGCCCTTTCAGCCGTGGGGGCGTTATAATGTGACGGTCAATCCCACTATTCGTTGGTAAAAGAGTAGCCCAAGAGTTGGCGGTAGGTGGTGATGACTAGCTGCATTCCCTCTAGTCATACACTGCTAAATTAGGGACGGTTAGCGTCGTGTAGCTTTGCGCGAAATTAAAAACAAACAAACAATCATTACCCAGTCAAACCGTCTCAAAACTTTTATCTTCACAAATCAGATAATCATCGTCATCCAGTTTATTTATAAATACCATTCCTTCCTAACTGATATTAAGTGAAATTTGTGTCAATAGAGGATAATAATGGTGAGTTAATTCTATAATTCAGTTGAAACCTGTTCACATTAGTTAACTAGAAAACTATATATGTATTTTGCCTTTACATGATTTGTTGTTTCTTAGTTTGTATTAAACACATAATCGCTATTCTTTCCCTGTGCTATTATATAATTCACAGTTGGAGCTTAATCCCCCTTACTGCAATAGTTACATCAGGATGTCAGTGAGGCAGAAAGTTTATTGAGACTAATATTAAAACTAAAGATGTATTGCTCGTTTTTCCAAGCAAAATTAACTGATAGGCATAGATTATATTTGAAAACACGTAAAATTGGGAATTTTGTAGCTTTTTAGAATATTTTTATCCGTATTACAAGTGTTTTCTGATATTTAACTGGGACACATTTGTCTTTGGTGATCACCAAAGCATTACAACCTTTAACTCTCTCACACCTAAAATTACCTTAGTATTTGTATTTTTTTAAACCACTAATCACCAGTGGGGTCTATATATTATGTCATACTAATGACCGCAGCAGTAATTAGTGGGATTAATTGCAATACTGATAGCATTTTTGTTACTTTTTTATGTGATTCATAAGTAATAGGGAACCCTGTAAAAATGTTTCGAAAAAGCTAATATAGACTTTGATCTTATTGGTAGGTTTAGAATTAATGCTAAATACCATATGTTTTGACTGCTTTCTGGATGTTATAAATCTTGTTAAACATTTACTTAGGTGAAAGTTTTCGAACTACTGACGAAAGAGGTTCACAAGCTGCATAAAACTTGGACTGTTTCTTGGTGGCAAATAACGTGAAAATATTGATAATCAATCATCGGTCATCAACTATATTTTATGCCATCAGCAGTTTCGTTTTGAATTTTCTTGCTGATTATAACTATTATTTTATTACAAGTTACAACTTTTATAGAAAGGAAGAGTATTTTTAAAACAGGTGCGACGTTTCGATCATTCTCAAGTATATATACACCTGGAAAAAAGTTAAGCACCCCCGTGTTTTTTTCAAGTGATTCAGATTGGACGTTCTTGTGACTGATTATAAATTACCATCCAATCTAAACGTGTTTATCAAATGAAATTATGCATTATTGGGCACAAGAAAACAAG